GATTGCGTTCACATCATTAATCCTGATATGCTTTTAGTAACAATAGTCCAATTGTTGGATTAAAACGTTCTAATCATCAAATTCACACAAAATCAAGAACTGTAATTAAATTATGTAGTATTCCTAACCTTTTAAGCTAGTTTTGTTTAGTGTAAAAAAAAAAAAAATTGTTTCTTTTGTGTTTGGTATTTATAAAAGATATATATATATATATATATATATATATATATATATAATAAAAATAATTTATTTATTTATTTTTACACACTTAAATTTGTTAAACTCGATCTCAATGTCACCTAGACTTCTACTAAACACTAAAAAAATATATATAAATATAAATATAAATATTTTACATGGAAACAAAAGAATCTTAAAGTAAAAGACTGTATCCATTATCCATGTCAAAAGTATTGACGGTGGGATGAATTAGGCCCTTCCTCACTTTTTTGTAGTGCAAGACCATCAAGATGGTCCACATTTAGTATCGGACCCATCACATGTAGGTTCGTTTTCGAACTTTACTTGGTGGGGCACCCATTACAATCCACTTCCTTTCCAATTATTGCTCTTCTTTTCAAATTTTCATTTTCAATTTCAGCACAATCCCTACGCCGATATCTTCCAAGATCTTTGGTAACCTAATAAATGACATGTAAAGAAAAATAATGGTATGGCCAAAAGGGATGGGGCCACAATAGGCCAAAGTTTGACTTTTTTGCAATTTGTCCATGTTCTTTTCAGTTGCAGGGTCATTTTTGTGAGGTGAGATGTTTAAAATAACTTGATGATCCTTCACTCAACAATCGTATCAGTGCATGCATAAGTAAGATTTGATTTATTGATTGATGGATTAGCTTAATTTATATCCTCTGTTTTAAAAATAAAAAATAAAAAATTCTATTGGCTTTGTTATTTTCTTAGCGAAGGCTTCTGATCAAAATATCCAAAATAGATCACAGCGACTTACCCCACTTATAATTCCAACACATTCTCCATCTGCAATAACCAATGAACTCAAAATTAAACTCTATCTAATGGAGCACATGATTTGGAACATTTCACCCTAATCATACCAATACAAACCTAATAATTGGTTTTGGGGTAAGTTTAACCAACTCTTTTATCCGATGTTATTTAAATTAAATTTATCAAAATAAAAATAAATTAAATCACCATAAAGTAATGATTTCAAGTACAAGCAGCGTAAGAAGTGGAGTTAAAGATACAAAATAGGTCCTTGCATTGGTGAGGAAATGCAGCATTTGTTATTTTGTTATTTTGTTATGTTAATTGATAAGTTTGTCAATTGAGATCCTAATCGTATTGCCCTTGTTTGGTTGAAGGACACAATGAAGCTAAAAATTTTAATTTAAAATAATAATTAGGATAGAGTTTTCATATTTGATCTTTCTTAAAACAAATTTTTTTTTTTCACTTTTTATAAAAATAATTTCATCCCTAGAGTATAAAAGAAAAATTACACTGTAAGGCTCCATTCGGGATAACAAAAGAAAAGAAACGATAGTTTGAAGTGTGTTTGGGATGTTTTAGTGGAACAAAAATAAAATAAAATAAAATAAAATAAAGAAAAAGAATTGGGAGAGATTTAAAGGATAGTTATCCCTCCAAATCTCTCATATGCTATCCTTCCAAAAAATCAAAAAATTTAAAAGAAATGATAGTAAATAAGTAATACTTTCATAATTCCAAAAGTACTCTCAACAATTAAAAGAATAAATATGTTATTTGGATGGAAAAAAAAAAAAGGATAATATTAGTTATAAAAGAAAATGAAATGAAATGAAAGAATAGTAAGAACTAAATTACTACATAAAAAAATTTGGAGAAAAATGATAGTAAATAAGTAATACTTTCAATATTCCAAAAGTACTCTCAACAATTAAAAGAATAAATATGTTATTTGGATGAAAAAAAAAAAAAAAAGGAAGGATAATATTAGTTATAAAAAAAAAAAAGAAATGAAATAAAAGAATAGTAAGAACTAAATTACTACCTTAACCTTTTTATAAAATGTTATAATCAAATGTTATAAGATGGTAGTTTCGAAATTATGAAAATACCACTTATTCACTATTATTTTCTTCCAAATCTTCTCAATTTTAGAAGGATAACACATGTTATCCCTCCAAATTCCTCTCAACCCTTTCTTTTTTCCTCACTAATAGCTATCCAAACACGATTTCCATTATTCTTTTTTCTTTTTTTTTTTCTTTTTTATCCCTTCAAATCACTCAATCCAAACGAAGTTAAACCCTATCTTAAAAAACAGAATAATAGTAATTGATTGTTATTCCTTTTTTTTTTTCTTTTATCTATTTTTTTTTTCAAATAGAAAATACTATGATTTTCTTTCTTTTCCTTCTTAATTTATAATAGAGGTGATTGCTTTCATTTCTCTTCTTTTCTTTTATTGTCTTTTTCCTCCTATTCATCCAAACGAAGGTACAAAATATACGCCAACCGCCGTCCCTATCGGCAAATCTTCTCAATTTTAGGAGCCACATGATATCCCTCTCAATTCTTTCTTTTCTCCTCACTCACAATTATACAAACACTATTTCTATTATGTTTTTTTCTTTTTTATCACTTTAACCCATTCAATCCAAACGAAACTAAATCCTATCTTGAAAAACAGAACAATAGTAATTGATTGTTGATCTTTTTTCTTTTCTTTTTTTCTTTTATCTATTTTTTTTCAAACAAAAATACTATAATTTTCTATTTTTTCCTTCTTAATTTACAATAGAGGTGATTGCTTTCATTTCTTTTCTTTTATTTTCTTGTCTTTTTCCGCCTATTCATCCAAACTAAGGTAATGTGCTCCCAGACTTGAACCACTTGGCACGGAACTTTTCCTATGGAAATTGGGAGATTGTCAGATTTCGGCCGTGTTGGAACACCATCTCCGGCTCCGACTCATTACGATGAAGCCAAATGGGATGTTAGAGAGGATCTGTGACCAAAGATACACACCGACATCCGTCTCAGTCGCCGGCGGAATCTGCTTCCACCCACCTGAGCTTCTCCGGTGGAATGCATTTATCTTTGGTAATTTTTATTTTTCACAATAAAATAAATTTTTTTCCCTAAAAAAGCTATTTATAGAATAATTATCAAATGGTGACTTCTAGACTTGGTGAATATTCATATTTTCTGAACTTGAGTATCACACATAAATTTTGTTTAACTTTAATCACTAAAATTGAATTTTCTCGATTTGGTCACTCATTTTGAATTTCCCCTAATCTTTACTTTGATATCACCTTTTAAATTCTGCAAATTGGCCCTTGTAGATTGTACAGCTCCTTCTCATATAATTCAATCTTGCTCACCAAAAACAAAAAGATATATATATATATATATTGTTGATTTGTGTAAAGAAACAATTGGCAGATAACATACGATCAGATCTGTCTTAACACCAAATTATTTTTTAACATTATCTTAGTGTCAAAAGAAAGAATCTATGAAGGTTTGTTGGGGTTTTGGCAGGAGTTGCAATTGGTTTGCATTTAGAATTCTTAAATCCTTTCAAAGGCGTTGACTGAATAATCTATAGCACCGCATAACCAATAAGTCTTCCTTCATTCTTTAAGAATTGGAGATGGTTACAAGAATTGCATCTATTAGTGCATTTTATTAAAATTTAAGCGACGACGTAGACCTAATAATTAACTAATTATTGAAATCTGAAAACTTCAAATAGTACAAAGAATGTACTTTACTTATTGAGAGGTTCCTAATCTTATCATTTCTCTAGCTGTTCCTATACATAAAATAAACTAGTCTTTAAATTGAAGCAATGTTCTACTGTATTTATTGGACACTCTTCAACTTGTACTATTTCCCTTTATTTAAATGTATTAAGCTTAGTGGGACATATACTTGGTAATGCATTCACACATATGTATGTATGTGTGTGTGTGTGTGTGTGATTGCATTCAATATAGGCGTCTGTACCATGTCTCTGCCACCAATCATTAGAGGTTTTCGTAACCTCTATGTGGTTGTCTACCTTTTGGCCATTTTTCTGCCCCTGACAGAGAGTTTGATCCATTGATCAGGTGAATTTTTGCGTGGCAGATGATCAAATTTCAGGGCATTTAGTTTCAGAAGGTTGGAAATCAACAGAGAGCAATGAATCACTTGAGACCCCTATGTATGTGCAGTGTAGAAATTACTAATTAGCTGACACCTAACTTTACATGCTAGTAAATAACATTATTGCAAGACATGGTCCAACATGGCTTGTCACTTGAATAAATAACCTTGTCTCATTCTCTTATGAATTTAAATGGCGGTCTTGGTGGTTGATTAATACTTGGGTTATTACTTTTTTTCTTGTTAGGTAAATATACTCGCACATATCTGGGACTTGAACCAAAGCTATGGTGGACATTTTGGGTCATTACTATTAGAAGATAAGATAGCAACTTTATTATGGTGTCAAATGTCGATGGCAAATATAAGGATTTATTCTTGTTCCTGAAAATGCTATGCTCGATGATAATACAAAATTGCCATAGTTTGATAAGGAATCTGCTCAATCAGGCTTACATTCATTCGGATCAGATTATCCTTACCCATAGTTTCTTAATTTATTGCATTGTTCCTTGATGGCCTTTCCCCTTGTTTGTTGTTCCTTTTCTGGTTTAATATTATGCGACTTGGGGAAGAAAAAAAATTCTTGGACATATGGCATTATTATTATTTTTTTTATTTTGTGCCAGTGGTGATTAAATGTGCATAGCTTTCTGTCCAAAGGTCAACTAGGCCAAGTTGTTATCATTTGATCACTTGTGCTATGACCTTGTATTAGATCTTATCCTTGACGCACATCATACACCACAAAAATTAAAATACAAACCACCACACAAGCTCGCAACTGCTTATTCCTTATTTCTTTATATTACACATTATTTTTCTATCTTTATCCTCAATATCATCCTCTACTGTGCCTATCATTAACTATTGCTAGCTGCAATATTGTAAAATAATTTACACTTGACAACTAAGATAAACTACCCACTTCCATTTTAAGAATAGTTTTCTTGGCAAGTGCCCGTGAAGAGCACCCAATGGGGCATAAGAGTCGCTATTGGTTGTCCACATCAAATTAGTTTCGGAGTCTTTTCAGTTCACACTGCGTTCAAAGGCATTTGTGCAAGTCTATTTTTCTGTCTATATATCGCTTGAAGGCAAGAGTTAAATCTACTATTCTGTTTCTCTCCGAGTCACAAGCAGAAAGAGTTGAAGAGAAACCAAGTAATTAGACTTTATCTTCTTTGTAATACTTTTCATGCCTTTTTTGCTTTTGAAGTTATGTTTTGTCATTTGTGATAATTTTTTCAAGCTAACACTTTGGTTTTGAAGCAGAGAAGATATATATGATGGAGGACCAAAGCCTTGATTTTATCAGCAACTTGCCTCTCGAAATTCAGCAACAAATCTTTTCATTCATCACTTTGAAAGAGGCGGTGAGAACTAGCATTCTCTCAACTGCATGGAAGAGCCTCTGGACGCCATTTGAAGTAGACTTGGGCTCTGATTCAAATCAAACAACCAATCATGAAGCTTGCGAAAAGCTAACGCAAGCCATGGCTATGTTCTTGAGATCTTGGAATGGTCCAGAGCGATGGAAGTTCAGTCTCAGCATCCACGACAGAGAGGACGATGATCTGATTTTCTCCGCAATCAAGGGTGCAGAGAAAGAGGTTCATCTTGACTTCTCTGGAAGAAAGCAATTAACAAGCAATTTCAGTTTGATATTGGAGCCAAGTGGTCCAATTTCTTTGAATCAACCCATCGATACATCCAGGTTTTCTTCTCTCGGGACTCTGCATCTTCGATCGGTAAACCACCTAGCCAAGAACTTGGTTTCAGATTTTTTCTCCAATTGTCTGCTTCTTGAAAGCTTGAAGGTTGAGAAATGCAATGGACTACAGAGTATAAATATCAAAGCAAACCACTGTCTTCAGAGCTTTATAATAGAAGACTGTCCAGACATGGAAAGTGTCACACTCTCTGCATATAATCTCAAGTCCTTCTGGTACAGAGGAGTTCTTCCTCAAATTCATCTGAAAAACACTGCACACTTGGTCGATGTAATACTCGATTTGAGAGGAGGTTTAGGCCTCAATGAGTTTGATTGCGAAGATGTTGTAGATCTTCTAGCCTCAATCAAGGACATTGAGAGTCTCACAATAAGTGGCTGGCTTCTTGAGGTACTTGGTTTAACAAAATCACTTTTTATCACTTTCCTTCACTTATTTCAAACATTATCATACTATATATAATATATGTATATCATTTCTAACAAAGAGTACTTACTATCTGTCATTTTCCAAAGTGGCTGTGTGCAGCAGGAGTGATTTATGGAAAACTGGAATTTAAATTCAACAAGTTAAAGGAGTTGTGCTGGATTGGTTCTTCAATGGACGGAGCAAAGCGAAATTCTCTGGCGTGCTTCTTAAACATATCACCTTTCTTGGAGAAGTTGATAGTCAATGTAAGTGTTTTTCCACAAATTTCAGACTAATGCAATGGTTTTTCAGTTTGTACATATCTTAATGCATGTTTCTCTTTCTCTCTATAAAAACATATACAGGTTGACAAAAGTTGCATCTCTATCCCATGTCCATTTTTCCACCAATTCTGGCACGAGCCGCACTTGTGCATGGATTGCGAAACCAATTATAAAGCATCACAGCTCAAACAACTAAAAATTGTTAAGTTGGCGGGTTTTACAAGCGAAGATGATCAATTCTTGTTAATAGATTTTTTACTCAAGAAGGCAGCTTATCTTGGGTCAATGATTGTAACTTCACCGGAGAATCAATCATGGCGCATTTTTAAGATCCCACAAAGTCAGCTAAAGCAGACGGTGAGGTGCTATTCAAAACAAGTTGGGATTTCTTCTGCAAACAACGATTGCTTTTTTGGATTAACAGAAGTAGACAACAACAATTAAGGGCTTGTCTCTCTGCCAAAGGGTTTATGCTTGTAGTGTTTGGACTTCGTTAAATTTTGAATGTAGGAAAATTGTATTCCCACATGGGAAAAGAAATACAATGTTCTGTTTTGTGCATATTCAGCTTCACTCTTTTTTTCTTTGTCCTCAGTTTGATCTTTTGTCTAAAGATTGCGAGGTGGTTGTTGAATTAAGTCAATTAATATTATAATTATGGAAAATAGATCATACCTTGTACGGAAATTGCTGGTTGGTGGTTGTTAAATTAAGTCAACTAATATTATAATGATGTTCACGTTACATTCTTATCATAATTGTAACTTAAATAACAAGATACTTGGGATTGAATATGAACTACCAGAATTTATCTATAACAATAGAGTATGAGCCACATCCATAGCAATTACTCTGCAATTTTTTGTCATTAAGTTGGTGGGGCTTCATAAGGCAAGAAAAGTGTGTGTGTGCGCGTGCGCGCGCGTGTCTATATATATATATATATATATTTGTCCTAGTCTCCTAGAACAAGGCACTACACCAACCGAAAACTCAGATGGTCGTTGAAAAATAATCTCAAATTTTATTTATTTTTGTCCTTGTAAATCAAGCCAATTGTGAAGGAAAATAGTTAATGGAATAATTAAACTTGGTACACACAAATAATATGTGTATTTTTCTTAGAAGAGTAGAAGTACAAAGTAGACAAAGTAAGAGTCAAGTGAGTACGGATGTGTGGGCTACTGGGCTCAACTTTGAATGTGTACTTTTCTTTAGCTAATGTTTTTCATTTATAGCACATCTTTGAATTTATGATGCACCTTTTGAAAAATGTAATTTGATTAATAAACCGCATTTAATGACCACCTTAGACGTAGTCTTCCTTCATTAAAGTAGTACCACTTTTTTCTTATCATGTTTATGGACTATATATAGTCTCTATATCTCTGTCTCTATCCCTATATCTATCTATGAATGTATTGGTGTATGTCACTTTTATATTTTTGTTGATCATGACCTATATATGTACCATATTTCTAATATCATATATGCATCTTTGAATTTATCAGCTTTTGAAAAATCTAATTTTATTTATAATTAACTGCATTTTAATTACCACCTTAGACAAAGTCATCGTTGGTATAAAACCCTCCACTTAATTGTATTTGGTATAAATAACTAATTAAAAATTATTGTAATTCATTACAAGTGTTCGGTGCGAGTATCACTATTCTTTTAAAATAAGTGGAGGGATTCAAATAAAAGCGTGCCAATAAATATTTATCTAATTACAAAATAAAGCTCTATTACGCAATAAGCATTTTTTTACTTATTTGTCTAATTCTTGGATGCTAATCGGCCTAATCCTATCACAAGGCATTGTTCTTCGTTTTTTTTTTTTTTTTTAAAAAAAAAAAAAAAAAAAAAAAAAAAAAAAAAACCAACTTCTTTTTTCTTTTCTTTTACTATATTCTATAGGTGTAATATCTTTTCTTCTACTTTTATTTCTTTTACACAAATCTTGTTGACAGAGCTTAATTCAAGGTAATATGATAATAATTTGATTTATGGTGGCATATATTATTTAGGGGTGGCAATTTAAATTCAAACCCATTAAACCGTCAAAACTCACCTACTACAATTAAATCATTTAAACACTCAAATTTAAGTGAGTGAGTACCTATACAATTTAATAGTCAATAATAAATTAAAAATGAGTATCCATCTTAACCCACCCAAACAAAACTTTCTTTTCTTTCACCTCCATTTCTCTATCTTCTATCTCCTCTGCTTTCTGGGTCTCTCCTTTCTCTTTTATCTTTTTCATTTTTTTTCACCTTTTTTTTTTTTCTCTCTCTCTTCTCCCTCCTCCCTTGTTTTATTGTATAAAATAAAGGGTAAAGTGCAATAAACCCCCCTCAACTATACCCTAGGTGCAACTAACCCCCTTCAACTATGGTCATGGTATAGTCTTAGGACAAAGAGTGTTTTTCAAGTCATTTTTAGCTATCGGAAATTTGAAAAGTCTAATTTACCCCTTCATAAAACGGTGCCACATCACAATTAGGAAAATAAAATGCCTGGAGAACACGTGTCAACAGTCTATTGGCTACTGACTTTATTATTATTTTTCCTTTTCTTTTCTTTTTTTATCTTCACCTGGGTCTCTTCTCACTCCTCTCTCTCTCTCTATGTGATGAACCCCCAAATTGAAAAGGCAAAAACGAAGCCGGCTGCTGGCAGAACGGCCGGCAAGGCGGTGACGAGCTTGGCTGTGGCGGCTTAATAGAGACGGGCTAGCTGTGACGGCGAGGCAGGTGGAGTGAACGGCCAAGATGGTGGCGGCTCAACCGATGTAGGGCTCGGCTAACTCGGCCGTGAATGACTCGTGACGGCAAACTTGGCGGGATTGAACGATAGCCAAACTCATGGCGAGTAAGGAGGATTCGGACGGTGGAAAGGATGAAGGCGGCCTCGGCGGTTTCAGCTTTGGATGATGTCGGCTGTGATGGACGGCGGGTGGTGCAGCGGCGGTGATGGACCGGCGAGGGCTCGGCCGTGAGGAAGAAATGCGGAGGTGGAGTGGACCGGCCGGCAAGGATGAATCCAAGCTTCTTGTTTTGTAAATGGGTTTTGAGTTTTTAATTTTTTTGTAATTTTGATTTTTTCTTGTTCTGTAAATGGGATGAATCCAAGCTTCTATACCTTGGATCGTTTCAATTCTAATGCCAAAGGACCGGTCACGAGCATTTGTAAAACATACAACATATATATATATAGATAGATGTATACAAATATAGGCAGATATATACTGCACAGATCGATGAGGAAGAAGGACAAAACGTTAGAGCTTGTCTGGATACTAGTTGGGTCCAAATGTCTTTAAAGGTCATTATGGTCTTTTTACATTCCATAAGGGCTTTATGGTCATTTAGAGAAATATGGGCTATCACATGGTAGAAATCCATCTGCCGGTTGCCAGATTGGGTAAAGTGCAACCAAACAACATACTTCAAGGAGGTTTTATGCTACTTTAGAAATTCAGGAGGGTTTTTTGCTCATTAAGGTATAGTTGAAGGGGGTTTATTACACTTTACCCAAAATAAATGACCAACAATTAATTAAAACCTCTCACTTAAATTTTTTTTTTTAAATATATGTAATTAATATTGTTGAGTGAGTTGTATAGTGACTTTTTTCAAAATAAATTAAAAAAAAAAAAAATTGTAACTTTTGAAATAAAAAATTTGCAAAAGTAAAAAATATAAAAATATATATATGTATATATTAAAAATAAAAAAAAATAAAAAAATAAAAAGAAGAAAGAGAGGTTAGAATGGGTTAACCCATTTTAACCTGTCCTTTTGAACCTTTACTTATTTATAATCCACTATTAGTGAGTTAAGAATAAATTACTGACCTATTCATACTCGATCCATTTTAAATCCATCCAAACCCACCCAATTGCCACCCTTAATATTATTACTATCACGTCCAGTTCCATCATAATTGAGGGTGATTATTTTATGGGTGACATCGATTAGATATCAATTTGTAGTAAAAAGTCAAATGATTTTCGTGTGACTGAAGTTTGCCCATTTGAATTCTATTCTATTGAGACTAAAACTTAATGGGAAGAAGTCTGAAGTGTAAAGAAACTCTATAATTTTCATAACATAATACACTCTTATTCCTAAATGAAAAGGTTTAGTGTGGAAGTTTGTATTTACTTGAACTTAAAAATTAATAAATAAATAACTAATGAACCGGAAAGAAAATAAAAGAAAAGAAAATTTTGTGATAAATTCAGGCAGTGTGTGATAGATATAATTGAGGGGGAGAGAGAGATAGAGAGTCAACAAAAGTCGGGTGCCCTGCAAGACAGGAGTGTAGTGTGGGGTATTTTGACAAAGTCACTTCTAGAATGCAAATGCATGTTTTTCATTTTCTTGAAATTAATGTTCTCTTCACCCACCCACCAGACCAAATCATCTCATCTAACAACAGGGTTTAACCCATGAATTACACTTTTGTCGTTTTCAGTCGTTGAATGTAATAATAGAACTTATTAAAGAGACGTTTCGAATACAATACTTCAAAATATGATAAAACTTCTCATTAATTAAACCCTCGAAATTGTATCATAATTTTGGGCACGCAAATCAATTCTTAAAATTGAGTAGGATAGTCAGCATGTTTCACATTAATTAGGTTCAATATTCAAATTTAAGAGGAAAGGATGAGCGATTTGGTGACCCATCACAATCGTCCTTTCCAATTACAGCTCATCTTATCAAAAGTCTCATTTTCACCCCAACACGTTTTGCATGCTCCAATATTTTCCATAATTTTAGTACCCAACACACTTATAAATAAATAAGTGTTTTTTAGTTACTCTAGTTTTTTGTTTTAACCAATATTGATCCATTTTTTTGTATGAGTGAATCTACTACGGATTTGTATAAGTGAAGCTAATATGGATTTGTATACATATATGATTAACTTCATAAAACCTTCTTAAATTACAAAGATTCCGTCAAGTTTATTATTAAGAAATAAATGGCCAGAGTATAAGGATTCTTTTAAAAAAATTAATTTATTCTTTTGATTTAATTGTATAAATGACCGAAAGTGTAAAAAATTTGCAAGTTGTGAACTATTACATATCATTTAAGTCCATGTATTCTTGGATCATATGAGAGTTGATTATAGTCCAGCCAACCACCATTCGGCACTTAGTACGAAGTTTAAAAAAAAAAATTCACATAGTCCCAGTACCATGTAATAATTTTTCATAATGGGAAAATTTTCTTTTTTAATTGAACTAATCACTAATTTTTGCTCAGCTAAGAATTTTCCTCGCAGATTGTGCAGAAGATTTGTTAGTGGTGTTGTTACTATTAGGAAGGAAAAAGTGAAAATTTTACTTTCACCATAACTGAAATCAAATTTGTTTGTTTAAATCCACTAATGTATGTACTTTCTTTTTTCTTTTTCTTTTTTGTTAGGAAGGAATGATGACACTAATTCTCCAATGTAATCAGACTCGGAACTAGTGGAGATGTGTTGGGCTAATTAATAGGGGTGGTCACAGATCGAATCATATCAGATCGGATTAG